CGAAAAAAAAATATGAATGAAATCAGTTTTAATGTACTACCCTACCCCAAACAAAACCCACTGATATCTACAACTCAGTCATTCACACACGTACACACTGGCGTACTGATGGGGAGGGGGAGGGGGGGGGGGGGGGGGGCTTTGGGGTAGTTGCCCCCACCCCCACCCAAATAAAGTAATTCAAACCAGGTAAATTTCTAATTCGATTCCAGTAATTTACAAATTTTGCTGAAATTACATGATTTTCCGGTTTTTTCTCACTTAAAAAAAAAATACTATCGTATGTTTAAAAAAAAATCATTCATTTCTCCCAATGCACGCGTGCTACGCTCGCTCGCATTTACAGTTGATGTAATTATATTTCTTAATAAAAATCTTTTCAGTCTTTCATGATTAGAATGTGCTTAAAACCCCAAACAGAATTGTTTGATTTTCCGTTTTATTATAAGATGTAGTTTTTCGCACTGCGACCTCAAAAATATTTATATTTTTGCTCACTTGATTCGCTCGCTCGCAAATGAATATATTCAGACCATCACACTCAACTTCAAATTAGGATGCTTAAGCAGTATCTTGGACCATGTAAAGAGAGAAAAAACATTGAAATCATCCCTAAAAATGTGATCACAATGTAGGGGTATATACCAATGTCTTAAAATTGCATATTTTCACTTTGAGGTTTTCCTTTGTAGGTGCCCATTTTTCCAGAAAGTGCCCCTGTTGTTCGTGCCCCCCTTCCACTTTGGAAGACGCTCCACCGCCCCTGGATAATGGGTGGGATATTAACTTATCATCTCATCGCTCAATGTGTAAAGAACATTAATGTAGGCAATCAATATAGTGGGTATAGATGCAAAGTACTCTAGCCTCATAAATAATCAACATAACAAAACCAGTACGCCATAGCTAAAACGTAGTTTGTATGCCGACATCTTGACCGTTATCGTCAATATCCGCATCCCCCCTTAAAAAGAACAATTTTTGTGCCGTCTTCCAATATTTGTGTGTGAGCTATCATCATAAGAAAGTTTCATTGTGTGTGGTCGGCATATGTATACATTCGATCCTTTTAATATAACATGAGTGTAACAGGTATAACCAGTGAAACAAGTGAGATCCTTAATACAATAAAAGTCATTTGTCAGCGACCTCGAATAACTCTTTAAGAAAATTAAAACAATATACTCAATTAAAAAAATATAAAAAGGGGGAATATGTCATAAAACTTTTCGTACATGATCGATCTACCCTCGAAATTAACTCAGAAATCAGAATTGTGAAACATAAGATAAAGCATTCTTTCCTTAGCTTCCAAAACCGGGCATTACCTCTGATACATATTTTTTCACAAGTTTTTTTTTCTATTAAAAATAATCAGAAAACTTTTATTCTCACCTTCATGATACTTGTCCATCCTTTTTTACCGTGAGCAGACATGATGATAATCGATCGCTGAAAACAACCTGAATTCTATTATAGCCTTATTGTGTTCGCAAATCAACCCATATGTTATACGGGATATGAGCCTGCCAGTGTCTTTGATGAATTACTGGTGAGACAAAAATTGTATCTTGTGCGAAAGGAGTAGCGCCCGGTCGGTTGCAAATGCAGGAGATGATTGCAATGATTCTGATAAGCAGTTACTACTGTAGAGAGCGTATTCCGATGGCATTACAGGTAGGTTCGACGTGCATCCATTTTTACAAACCCCACTGCGCATATTCTTAATTGCTATTATTGACAAAGATATTGTAATATTATCAGATTTGAACATTCTAAAATATAATGTCTTCTTGGTCAGTTTCTTAACTGGATGGCGGAGTAAGTATTGCGGGTTTATTGATGGCCTTTAAAGGTACTATGTCCCATTTGCAGGCCAAAATAATGAAAAAGGTAAATTCCAACTGCATTTGAAAGATAATACTAATTTAGAACTTCCCTAAAAAAGGTGGGGCTTGAAAATGTCTTCAAGTGGGAAAATAACGACTATTAGTTGTCAAATCGACTTTAGGGCTATAGAGCCCAAAACTAATAGTCTTGATTTTCAGACAATTGTACCGAATGGTCATACGTTTTATGCTGCGCAAAGATTCAATCAGTTTAATCTTTGCCATCACAAGAAGTGAGTTATTGATATAGACAAATGCTCATGTACCCTTTACAATTCTTTTCATGTATGTTATTACCAAAGAAGAAAAAAAGCCAGTCAGTCACTCAATAGTGTCTGACAGTGAAGTCTAGCAAGTAAATGGGTTTCCTCGCATAATTTGAATATGAGGACCTTGCTAACGTTTAAATTTCACAGATAGGACATACATGACATATTCATAATTCCTGCAAAGTTCTACAGCATTTGAGGTTGGCTGCAAAAGGGACATAGTACCTTTAATCGAAAAGAAAAATCGGTTTCAAATCGTACGCATGCAGCCGTGTGTTCATGAGTCTGACTCCATAACGACTCGCAACCGTACTTGAGCCCAAAACAACCGGACGTTCAATTATCATATTAACTAGTATGAGGCTAGCAAGAATCTCACTCGAGAATAGTTTACATGTTTGAGTTTTCATAAGTAAGTTCTTTGCAAAATGTTCAGTCATTTCGTAGACCTACAATGTGCGTAATGGTGGAGAGGGAGGGCGGAGGGGCTTTAAATCTAGTAACACTGATCGCCGGTTGGCTGCAGACACTCTTTACATAAACAAAGCTATATAAATGAGGCCTAAAAGTAGGATGTGTGCGTATGTGCGTGTGTGTGAGTTAGAGAGAGAGAGAGAGAGGGAGCGTGTGTGTGTGAGTGCGGGTGTGTGTGCGTGTGTGTGCGTGTGTGTGTGTGTGTGAATGAGAGATAGAGAGAGAGTGTGTGTTTGCGTGCGTTTTCGAGTGTGTGTGTGTGTGAGAGAGAGAGAGAGAGAGAGAGATATTCGATAATAAAAATCACAATAGGGACTGTGCAAATTTCAAGGCAGAGAAAAAGATAGAAGTGTGTCGAACTGAGACGATATTCTATAAATATTTGCTAGCAAAAATAGTCTTGAGATTAGAAAGAACAGGAGAACATGACAGCACCCTTGGGCTGTTTTTGTTGGCTCTTAAGTTTGATGCTTGATTGGTTAACAATTTCTGGTATACTCCCGGGCCTTCTGACAACAGACTTTTCTGAGGGTTCATCACAGGCGCGGATCCAGGATTTCTTAGGGGCGGGGGGGGGGGGGGGGGGGAGGCCCAAATTTGAAATTATGCGAGCCAAATATTGGTACGTAATGGTGACCAGCAGTGACGTAATGGGGGGGGGGTGCAGGGAGGGGCGAGTTTTTCCCCTACTTCCTCCGCGCAGCGTGGAAGCTTCGACATTTCAATAAATTATTAAAGAAAAAAAAGACGATTCGTTGTATCGTTCCCAAAAATAATCCTCGTCTGAATTATGTTTCATCCCCTCCTCCCGCGCGAAGCGCGGAAGCTTTTACGTTTCATTAAATCATTATAGAAAGAAGACGATTCGTTGTACCGTTCTCGACTCTTAATCCTTGTCTAAATTCAGTTCCCTCCCCTCCCACGCGAAGCGCGGAAGCTTCGACGTTTCATTAAATTATTAGAGAAAGAAGACGATTCGTTGTACTTCTCACGAAAATGATTCTCGTCTGAATTTATTTTCCCCCTCTCGCGCGAAGCGCGGAAGCTTTTACGTTTTATTAAAACATTTAGCGAAAGAAGACGATTCGTTGTACCGTTATGACTTTTAATCCTCGTCTGAATTTAGTTTCACCCTCCCGCGCGAAGCTTTTACGTTTCATTAAATCATTAGAGAAAGAAGACGATTCGTTGTACCGCTCTCGAAAACAATCCTCGTCTGAATTTAGTTTCCCCCCTTCCGCGCAAAGCGCGGAAACTTTTACGTTTCATTAAATCATCAGAGAAAGAAGACGATTAGATGTATCGTTCTCGTATCTTAATCCTTGTCTAAATTCAGTTCCCTCCCCTCCCGCACGAAGCGCGGAAGCTTCGACGTTTCATTAAATCATTAGAGAAAGAAGACGATTCGTTGTACCGTTTTCGACTCTTAATTCTGTCTGAATTTCAAAAATGTTCTATGTCTACTCCCTTTTCTTCCTACGTCCCCTTCCTTTTCACTCCTCTCTTTTTTTTTTTTTGGGGGGGGGGGAACCACCTCACCCCCTCCCCCTGTCTACGCGCCTGCGTTCAGATGAACATATGTTGATACCTTGTCCGCCCCCGGAAGCTTAGGGGTTTAAGGCAATAATTTACAGTCAGATTAGCATTCAGGGGTCCGCCTTAGGGCCCTAGCGGGGACGGGATCAACAACTTGTTGGCGGGAAAATTGTAACTGATATCCTCCTTCTTTTCTTTTCTTCTTCCTCTTTTTGCCTTCCCTTTATCTCCTCTTTTCCCTTTTTCTTTCCCTTTCCTTCCTCCTTTTTTTATCTTTGATTAGGGGGGGGGGGGAGGCAACAGCCTGGGAGGCAAGTCCTCCCCCCTCCCCGATCTCTTTCTTCCCTCTTTTCTTTTCTTCTTCCTCTTTTTTCCCCTTTCTCTCCTCTTTCCCTTTCCCTTCCTTTCCTTCTCTCTCTCTCCTTTTTTTTTTTTGGCGGGGGTGGGGGGGGGGGGGGGGCAAGGCCCGCTAGCCCCCCGCCCCTGGATCCGCGCCTGGACTTCATCAGACCAAAGGCCCGTAAGACCCCCATCCAACCGACCGACAGTGTCGATCTATAACCGGCCTTTTAGCGACTTTTAAGAGGGTTTTTAAGACAAATCTATGAAACCGATATTCTTTTCTTTCTTTTCTTTGTTTTGTCAGTTTTCATGGGTGTTTTGGAACATGCTAAAATGTCTAATTTCCGTATATCTATTTGTTTTGTTGGTCACTCGGCCGCCGGTCTCGCGAACTCTCGATCTACTGAAATGCCCCTGTCGTTATTCATTACAGTTATATTTTACTGTAAACAGACGGGAAAGTAATGATTGAGATAATTCACACATGTCCTTTAGTAAAAAGTGCACCTCATTTTTATTAATCAATACTTTGTTCAAAACTCATTATTCAACACTTCAAAATACCACAAAAAATATACAACGTCTAATATATCAGTAAATCTTCAGAGCACACAGTGCTCATATAAATGATGCAGATATCTACAAAAATGCAAGTGATACTGCATGTTTTACTTTCTATTCTAGTGTACTATGTACAATCTAAGTGCTATTCTAGTAAACATTTACTATTCATTTTACCATATTTATACAATCCTATTAACTTGCATAGCGAAATTACATGACAGACGTGGTCTTTTCAAATTTTCTCATACAATCCCGATACAACAAAAATGATTTTTTTTTTTGTGTTTTAAACCCACAGACTGTCAAAAGGTACTATTAAGAATAACGAGCTTTTCCGGTCAAAGAATGCATAGGTATATCCCGATATATTGGGCGGAAATATTGCAGATATTCAAGTAGAAATTATATTCTAAAAACGGATATTTGGCTTTCAAGTTCCAGTAATGGATCTTGGATCTGCCTCAAAGGTATCAAAATCCACGCGGTGGGCTATCCGTAAAAGTATGCCTACTTTTAGGTGAGACATTGGAGCAATACAAGGGATAGGGAGGCTATTACCCCCTTTCCACAGACACACGCCCACGCAATCACACACATGCGCGCGTACGCACAGATAACAAATATCAATATAGTGATTTTGTTAGTACTTTCAGCATTTTATCGGCAAATGTAAGGCTTATACATGTTTTCCTGATCAATTCATTAGCACATTAGTTCGAGCTGCTCCATTCCCCTCCTAAAACCTCATATAGCAACGCCTATTGTTATGCTCTCAACTAGTACTGTACAATAGGTTTACGACATGGCGGATACAAGGTGGATACTTTATTCGATAGTTCCTGATGAAATACTTCAAAAGCCGGGGTTATTAAATGTTGATTCATGTGACACGAAATATGCATTACTTTGAAGTATTTCAAATCTTATATTTCTACTAAAACTGACAAAAATGTGAAGGTTAATTTGGGCCATCAGAAGGGCATTTTACACCATGAACAACAGAATGCACATTAATTTACTTCATACGTTAAAAAAAATGCTATATGAGACATCAACATTTGTTAAACAGAAAGTATTTCGTTAAAATTACACAACAAACAAGTTTACAATGAAAGGTCACTTAAAAACACTTTTATCGGAGAAAACAATTCTCCGTGCAGAATCCGTCTTTGAAATTACAGACAAACATGATGTATTACGAACTTTCTGTTTAAATATTTCATCATGTTTTGCTAACCTATAACTATTTTCGCCTTACAACGTAATAACATATTCACACGCGTAAGAGAAATAATACAATTTCTCCTTTACTGTCTAAACTAAACTTGGAGCATACAGCTATATTCTAATGCCCATGCTTTGCTGAATAAACTATTATAGCCTGAGATACATATATAATATTTAAAATCGTGAATAGATTCACCAAAATAATTTCGCAGTGACGAAATATTTATTTTATAGGTTCTTCGTAATCATGCGTGCTGTTTCAAGTACCGTCCACGTAGTTTCAAAATTACACACACAATCATGTATGATTTTAAAGGCAAGTAATGTCATACATATCTAAAAGCATGTCTCTTATTGCACATGTGCATTTACAGATACATATTATTATAAAATTGAATGTGAAAATATATAAAATTCATTTGATTTATAAAATGTAATGAATATTCCTAAATTTGCATAGTTTTTGTTTGCGTATAATTAACAATAAGGATCTCTTATTAACGGAAACAATCGACGGTTGTCATATTCTTCTTCACTCACCCCCTTAATAAAGCCATTTCTGATTTGAATTAACGAAAGGTACAACTTAAGCCATAGGTCTATGTTATTACTTTCACTAAATTCGCATTTGACTTTTCTTAAACCCAAACAATATACATTTGTAAATTTTGAAATATTCTGATGAATTATAATTGAAATCGTATAATATAATCGTTTAAAAATTCCACAAAAGACAGGGTACCTTTTTTCCTGCAGAGAAAGTGAGGAGAATCATAGACATTCATTAAATAGAATTTTCAAGGGAGCTCTCCAATTATATCCCCTACTTTTAAAATAATGTCAAGAAGCTTCTCTTTATAAAACGTCTGCTAAGCCTTATAAATAACGGCGGATGACCTGATAAGACAACCCTCACTGGCAGATGTCAAAACGACCAATTAAACACACACATTTTTAGTGAACTGTACCCTTTTAGAATTAAGATCAGCCCCGCGTTAGGTTTTTACGTTGTAGAATATAGTCCCGGAGGTTTGTCAGTTAATGGAAGCCATTTTGGGTTGCTGTGGGGCAGATGACTTCTGCAGATGATAGATAGGGTGTGTCCAGGAATCCTGTACCCACCATCAAACCTCCCTCATCCAACTGGATGTCTTTTGTACGGTAGAGATAGCCTGTTGTCTTGTTGAACACCACTTCGTCGTTGTAACTGTAAGAGAAAGGGGGGGGGGGGGTTATTTGTAATCTGGCGATCAACATGTCACCTACACAGTATAATTCCTGCGTGGTCCATCTGTTGCGTTCTAGACAGAGATGTCACGCCGTGAAAAAAATTAATGCAAGCCCCTGGGCAAAGGAATACACGGGTTTTATTTTGAAAACTTTTTAGAATACATTTATTGGACATTATCTATGCGTCCTTGTTATCTGCATAGTAGGTTTATTGACGCACTTTATACAATCGAACGGTTACATGGCGCTTTATAAGAACAAATCACTGCAAACTGAGGTGGAAGGTAAACATGGAACTTCTTTTCACCTCATGAGTCCTTAAAATTAACCAAATACCTGCTTTCTATAATATCAGTTTTCCCTCACTGTCTTTTGTTAATTCCTATAGACGATCTAGTCTTCCTTGCCAACAAAGTATACCTTGTCAAGGAACCATGTACACAGCTGTTTCTCTGTGCAAACAGTAATCTCTGTAAACACGTTCCTTTGACGACTCTGCAACATAGCAGCATGTTCTGTATGGCCTATGTTATCTGAGATGCATCGTTCCCCACAACCCTGTAACTTGCCTACCTTACTAACGTTCCGAAGGGACCGAACTCACTGGCCACAGTCATGAGTTCTAGATCAGCGCTCCCGTACTTCATGCAATAGTTATGATTGACGGGAGAGTTGAACCTGTCCATCAGCATATAGGCCGCCCTCTCCGGTGATCCTCGAAGTTTCTCCAATGCATCCTTCATCTTCTCCCCGAACAGATTATTGCCTTATATTACGATGAAGGAAATGAAGAAAATAATTATTTGTGTATGTCTTTAAACTAGCAATTTCTGTGCCTTTACCCCTCAATAATCCAAGTATTTCCGGGGAAATGAGAGATGAGCACAAAATTATGAGCACACTTAAACCGGCAGACAGGAGTCGTATACTAAGACACGTTGAAGGCCTCGGTATACATTTTTGTCTCATGCAAGCCACTTATCTTTTTATCCGAGGAAATTAGATTATTCATGTTGTTTTTAGGACAAGATTTAATAACTTAAACCTATTATATTCTTCAAATGAATTACTATCATTGACGCTTTGTAACGTTTCATTATCCTCATCCCTGTTTTCCTCGACCACTTTTGCTTACCTCCTCCTTCTCTTTGTGGTTTCATAACATACTTCATCGGGTTAGCAATGGCTTTCTCTGCAGCCTCGTCACCAGCAGGTGTCTGACAAAATAATCAGACAAAAATAATAATGTAGTGGTTCTTAGGGTCTTAAACCCTACGGGAATATTTAAAAAAAAATCTCTTTGTAGTTTGTACTCGCTGGATAATAATCATGATTTAAACAAAGCTTATATGAATTTAAGCAACATTTGCATTATATAGGGTTACAGCATTAGTCAAGAAACAGAAGGAAAAAACCGCTAAGGTATGTGGAGCTCCTACACCCCTCCAAGATATGACCAGACTTGCGAGCGTTATTACATCTTGCTATAAGGCTAGCCCAAGCAAATGAGCGCACGACATACAAAGAATGTAAGACTGAAGCCTACACAAATTCAAAGGATCCATTTTGTTTTTAGTTCAGTTTCGAGATCACACAGGGCAATAGTTTTAACCGTGCCCCTCTAAGTAGTCAATAAGTCTATTTTGTTATTGCAAGGGGCAATCGCCTCCTGGTTACTTACAAGATCTAGAGTGTAGTGTCCAGTGAATATGCTTCGTAAATCATTGACTCTTTTCTTTCCTTTGATGAAGAGTTCGATAGAGCCAAGCTCGTAGAGTACTTGCTGTATCTTTTTGGTCCCGGCTAGCTGCATGGCCACTGACGGACACACGGCCGCCCGTGATCTCTCGCCCATTAACCTGGCATTCCACTCCTAAAGGAAAGTTTTAAAAAACAAAAATCAGATTTGAAATATCATGTGACGTACGGTCTCCAATGAAAAATGCTGAACTTCAATCCATGACACTACACTATCATTTTTACTTATTAAATTACCTAAATCTTATTTTCTACCAAAGCCTTAACCCTATATCTTTGATTTTAAAAATATCAGATAACCAAAAGGACATATTTGTTTTCAATGCTTTAACAAGAATTTGGTCCAAATCTATTTTCTTGGTCCCCCAAAAAAATTCTTTTAAATTCAACGTGTCGACGAGAGACTGGGTGAAAAAATGTCTTTCCATATTGAATTTGACCAATACATTGCTTGGACCCAACTCATCATCTCTACCACCCCACCACCACCGCCATCATCATCTTCACAATGACCGCCTCGAACCCTAGTACCACCACTACCAACATCACAACATCCTCCATGACACCATCATCTTCACCATGTAGATAAAGATGATGCTTACGATAATGACGGTGGTGATGATGATGATGATGACTTTCTTCATCACTGTCGTCGTTATTAAGTTCTTATAAAAGACCAGTTGGAGAGCTTTGATTGAACTAATAAGTTGTATAGCTTTATTGAGGCTCCACTTCTACTTGTTGTCCATAGATGTATTGATGGAATCTTTCACATGCGTATGTGATTGCCAGCAATTCTTTCTCGATCTGTGCATATCTAGTCTCTGCATCAGTCATTGATCTAGATGCATATGCGATCGGAACCCAATCTTGATCATATTGCTGTAGTAGCACTGCACCAATACCATCCTTTGATGCGTCTGCTGACAGCTTGGTTGGTTTCTTGCTGTCATAGAAATGTAGGACTGGCTCTTGTATCAGAGCTTGTTTCAGCTGATTCCATGCATCCTCTTGTGCATGATCCCATGTCCATACATTCTTTTTGTCTAGTAGATGTCTCAGCGCTGCTGACTTGGTCGACAGATCTGGAATGAACTTCCCTTGGTAATTGATCATACCCAAGAACCGTTGGACATCTTTCCGACATTTCGGTCTCTCAATGTTCAAGATAGCAGACACTTTCTTTGGATCAGGTTGAACTCCTTGATCACTGATCAAGTCACCTATGAATGTGAGCTTCTTGACATTGAACTCGCATTTGTCTTTGTTCAACTTGAGATTCATTTTTCTCACAATGCTGAGAACCTCTCTCAACCTGTCATCATGCTCCTGTTGGGTAGTTCCCCATACAATCACATCATCCATCATTGTGTTAACTCCCGGAATGTGTGCAAACAGTTGGTGCACTATCTTGTGATAGACTTCCGGAGCACTACAAACACCAAAAGGTAGTCTCAAGAACTTGTACCTTCCGTATGGCGTGATAAACGTACAAAGCTTGGAGCTTTCGTCATCTAGTTGGATCTGCCAAAAACCACTAGACGCATCTAACTTGCTGAAGTATTTGGCTCCTGCAAAATGTGCAGTTATTTCAGCTCTTGATGGCAATTGATAGTGTTCTCTTCTGATTGCTCGGTTCAGGTCTCTTGGATCTAGACAGACCCTGAGCTGACCGTTCTTTTTCATCACCACCACGAGAGAAGAAACCCAATCAGTTGGCTCACCAACTCGTGTGATTACGTCCATTCGTTCCATCTTATCTAACTCGTCTTTGAGTTTATCTTTAAGTGGAAATGGAACTTTGCGACATGCATGCTGAACAGGATGTGCGTCCTCTCTCAATGTGATGTGGTGTTTACCAGGAAGACAACCTAAACCTACAAACACATCTTGATAGTCTTGAACTACACTTTTACCCGTTCCGTGTTCAGTTTGTTTCTCAACATGATACACCCGTTTCACCAGATACAAGTCTTCACTCGTCCGTAATCCTAACAAAGGCTGACGATTTCCAGGAATGACTAGACACGGCACATTGCGTTTGATCCCTTTGTACTCAACTTGTACACAACAACGACCTTTGACCGGGATATCTGTCTCATAATAACCTGTCAACATCACTTTGGCTCTTTGTAGCTTTGGTTTTGGTTTCAATTTGTGAAATACTGTCTCAGGAAGAAGATTCGCCTGAGCACCAGTATCAACCTTGAAGTCAACCGGCTGGTTATTGACTAGTAGATTAACTATCCATTCATCCTTGGATTCTTTTGATTCAACAGAGCAAATCATGAAACCTTCTGAATCTACCTCCAAGTGCTGCAGTTCATTGACCTTGGCTACTGGGGTTTTACAACATTTAGCAAAATGATTCTGCTTACCGCACTTCTTGCATGTTTGACCTTGTGCGGGACATTTGTCTTTGCTATGTCGGTTTCCGCACCTGCTACATGCATCACTTTTAGTACGACCTTGAGGTTCTGACCGTTTTGACTTTGAACCAGGAAATTTCTTCTTAGTCTTGCTGAAAGAATCTACCGGAATTGAGGCGTTTTCCCCTGCGGAACTCAACGCTTGTGTCTGCGTTCGAGTTTGTTCAGCCGCACGACATACTTGCAACGTTTTAACCAATGTAAGATCATCTTGCCTCAACAAACGTTCTCTTAGACCATCGTCTAAAATACCACAGATAATTCTGTCCTGGATAAGACTCTCTTTCAACATGGAAAACTCACATGACTGAGCACGACGTTGCGTACTGATCAACACTCTCATGCACTAACTAAGATCTTGTGAAAAATCTATGTCTCTCATACGTTAGATTACGTTTCGGCACGCAATATTCCTCATATTTGTTCAACACTTTCTCAAGCTTCATGCTCTCACCCTCAGCAAATACAAACGTATTATACAATTCCAAGGCAGCATCGCCAATCACGTGTAGAAGCATTGATGTTTGTAACTTTTCATCTTTTTCAGACATTCCTGAGGCAACATTGTATAGAGTGAATTTCTGTTTAAATCTTCTCCAGTTCTCGGAAATATTTCCCTTTAAGTCGAGTGGAGGAGGTTGACTGAGATTTGCCATTTTGTTTCTTTTTGTTTCTTAGCCTAGTGTAGTCACTCACATGAACAGCATAACAATTAGCTTTTTTTTTTGTATCTTTGCAACAATTACTTTAAGCTCAACTATTAACTTTCACTGAGTTATTCTGTATGTTCATGTCCCATATATGTCACGCTTACTGCCCGTTATACTGGAACTGGCCCGGCACAGAACTATGCACTCCAATCCATACAACGACAGCGCTAACTATTATGGACATAACTACATTCACTGGACATACACTTAGACTCTAAGCCCTCTAGCTCTCATCATCTCTCACATCACAAAGAATTGGATTGAACTGGCCTGATTTCAATGATTCCTCCATATATATATATATACTGTAGGCTGGGTTGCTCAGCACAAACACTGGCTGCTAAGTTCTGACACCATATTATGTTCTTATAAAAGACCAGTTGGAGAGCTTTGATTGAACTAATAAGTTGTATAGCTTTATTGAGGCTCTATGTCAGTCAGACATCTTTGTAGCATCTCTTGTACAAGTACTTATTGTTTCATAACATGACCTGGCATGAGTCATGGGTTGCAGGTCATTCTATATTTAGTTATACATGCTAGTCTGTATTTGCAGACTCTGTTAAACTACATGTAGCTATCACTACAGTCGTCATCATCGTTGACGTCAACACCATCAATATCAACATCAAACAACTGCAAAATACATGCTGAAAGAACTATAATCATACCACTTCTGTTGGATATTGACGTGGTGAGTATCCCGTTCTATAGTAAAGTAGCGCGACCTCCATATCGTCTCTGCAAAAAAGACAAAAAATATCCTCAACTTAATCAAATCTAAGAGATAAATGCCAACGTTGTGGTTAAAACAATACATGAGTTCCAGAAAAGGCGAAGATGAAGCACAAAGTTGCCCGTCAGTTTCTTTGAATGGTAGTTGTATTTAGAATGGAATATTGAAATAGTGAAAGAGGAGGAGAAACGATATGATTTGTTAGACTGATGTTATCTACTTGCCACGTTGATTAGCGCTTAATACATCGACGATGTCTCGACGCCCTTGACTATAACCCCGTAATCGGAGTCAGGCTTGGCCGTACACAATCATCTCAATGCACACACATTTTCACTCCCTGGTGAGCATTCTAGCCAAGCGTCAATTTACAGACGCTCATAAATGCTTAGCAAACTATGATGAATTCCATTCGATGGCGGTATAGTCGTATAGTCGTCCCGCACGCTGGAAACTATACATGCGTTCGATGGATGCATGGCCGTATAGTAGTACAGTTTCATGCGTTCTGATTGGTTAAAACTATACATCTACTCGATGGATGTATAGTTGTAATGAATATGGCACGTTCCGCCCGCCATAACCACAACACGTAAGCCCCTAGTATATCGGCGGGGCTGGCTATCCTTCGATATGAGTCGACACAGATCAAAGAAATCTTTTGAAATCTTAAAGTAGATATTCATTGATTTTAAAAACTAACTTTATTTTCATTATTGCAAAGTTGAAACTTTGATTCGACAAGGTTATCAAAATTCAATGCTTGGAAACATTCGAAGTAATGATTATTATAAATTACAAAACGCTTAAATACAGCCCCGGCATAGCACCTGAAGAGTTCTCCGAACGCTGCTGAGATGTGTGAGATCACAGTATGGACATGACTTGCACAAGCAGACGATGTCCCATGACATCTCACACATTTTCAGTGCCAGTGTTTTCATCTTCTCTCGAGTTCTTTCTCTTACTTCATATAGTTCCTATAGGAACTCAGTGTTATATGCTCTGGCTCATTATGGTTAGGAGCCAGAGCAAATAACACTGAGTTCCTATAGGATATTTTTTTATTCAGATAATCATATCTCAGCCAACACTTAACATATTCAATTGGTTTACGGCATTCAGACATTATTTTTGATGCTCTTTCGGAAAATGAAGACAAAAATGAGAAATTCTAAAAATAGTTTTTTGATGACGTCACACTTCACCACTCTATACCCTATGAAGGGAAATACAAGCTTTGAAAGTTGAAACACAAAGGATGAAATTGTTTAAACTCACATGAACAATCGTCTATCGTTTCCCCGAAGCTCGGCTCGTTCGCCTATCTCTGTGAGTGTCCTTCTAATGACCTTCGCCCCATCATCCATTGCCTTGATACCATACTCCATCCACCTCTGATCAAATTTGTTGCTTTCTTCCGATGTCACAATGAATACAATGACTGCTCTAAGAGTCAAATAAAGCGTGGAAAGAGAGCTTTTCATAAAACTGAATATCCTGATTATGTTCAGTAGTCCTTGAGAAGAATGGAAATTTACCTCAAAGCTACATTAAGTTTTGGTGCCTTAAACGGATAGTTGAGTTTGGGTATAAAGGACGCTACACAAAATAATTTTTATATTTTTTATGAGATAATGAAAAACTAAGTGTCAAATTTGAAAGAGAATACAATTTAAACGACAAAATCATCTTTGTTTGATCATAATCGGCTCAGAGACGGCTGAATTATCCGTAAATATAACAATTTCTAATATTTGTGGGGCCCCACAAATATTCGATAACTTTGAACCAGCCGTTGAAAAAACGAGATAGCGCCTTATACGTTTTATTCCAGCCAATGCCAATGTTGGCTTTTTGTTGGCTCACCCCTAAATATTTCCGGGGACAACAATTTCAGAAGAATGTCTAACTCACTTGGGTTCACCGTATAATCTCCATGTCGTCACCATCCCATCTGCGACCCCTTCCATCCCGTAGTTGCCTGGTACACGGTCTAACACCTTCTCTCTGTTCATACCAAGCTGCTCTAAACTATATCTACATTGCAGGAGGAAAATATGTGTCTGTTTAAAAATCGAGACTGTAATTCATGACTCACCATTCCAGTCGTGTAATATATTTTAAGGATCATTTCGGGAGTCGCAAACTAACTGTATCTATATGGTTCAAAACAGCCCACAAGACCAACATTCGACAACGCTGCCATGTCGGTTTCATGAACCCTTTGAGAGGGTTAACGAGACTAATATTGTCGGTCTTGATGGTCGTCGGTAGACTGTCAGTCTCGTGGGCTGTCGGTCTACCGGGTTTTCACCTCGTGAGTAGCCAACTCTACTCAAACCATATAATAATAATAATAATAATAAAAACGTTACTTATAAAGCGCTTACCACCGAAGTCTCTAAACGCTATATATATATATCAATACGTATATGTGCTAATCAATCTTGGTAACTTCATGCATATACCGAGGAAATAGAACCTACTTGATAAGGAATTTAAATCGTATATGTGTAGGCCTACATAGCCAAATATGTTTTCGTGTATTTTCAATATTCCTGTTACTCCTGTAGACTTACGTAGTTTACAATCAAAACAATTTCACCATTTTCAAAAACCAATTGAGAGACAAAATCACTTTGAAATGACTTAGGTAGTGTTGGCACGGAGCGCTAACTTCATGGTCCTATTCTCATTGCATTCCTTGACCGACCCTTTTGGGTAATAAAAATTCCCCGGAAAATTCCATCTTTCTTTATAAGCTTCGACCGCGCTCAATCGTTAGTCTGAAGGCACAAACCCTTAGCTTTTCTGCACTGTAAGCTATATACAGCATAATAAGACTCTTTACTGTAGCTGCTCCGGACACAACCAGAGACTGACAGAGCTACAATGTAAGCTCTGCTCAAGTAGGCTCTGCTCAAGTAGGCTCTGCTCAAGGCGTTATGAACGGAGGTAAAGGGTCAAATTAGAGTCCGTGTCTGCAGACTGCTTAAACGCACTGCTAGAAGGCGAAGAGTGCCCCACCCTAACACTTTCGTTCAATAGTACATGCATATGTCGGTAATCTCCAATCGCAGTTTGCATATTCGAAAAACCCAACATTAGTAGTAGAAGTAGTAGTAGTAGTAGTAGTAGAAGTAGTAGTAGAAGTAGAAGTAGTAAAAATATTATTATTATTAGAAGTAGTAGTAGTAGTAGTAGTAGTAGTAATAGTAGTAGTAATAGTAATAGAAGTAGTAGTAGAAGTAGTAGTAGTAGTAGTAGTAGAAGTAGTAGTATTAGTAGTAGTAGAAGTAGTAGATGTGATGGTGGTGGTATTGTTATTATTATTATCACCATCAACATTATTCTAATTATTTACCTGTGTACATCTACTAATCTGGTACTGAGAGCCGGACACCCTGCTGCTATGGTGTTAATCTCTACCATAGACAGATCAAGATCAGGACCATCATTAATCTCCTTACAGCAGTCTAGCATGTAATCCGTCCGATTGATGCAAAGGTTCACTGGCTATTGAAAAGATCAAGAGAAAAGATTAATAAATGACAATAGAAGGACCCTTTATATAATAACAATAATAATAACAATGATAATAATAATAATAATAGTTATATATATTACTCGTAAGGACCGCTATTCATAATACGAAATCGGGGTCGCTATTCATAAACATGAAGAAGGGACACTTTATAAATAGCGGTCCTTATGAATAGCGGTACTTACGAATAGCGGACCTTATAAATAGCGTTCATTATGAAAAGCGGTCATTATGAATAGCGGTCCTCGTGAATAGCGGTCCTTACAAATAGCGGTCGTTATGAATAGCGGTCCTTATGACTAGCGAGGGGACCCCGCATTGGAAGAGAAGCAAAGTCTCATAAAGAAGATGCAGGTGTCTTGAGGGATAAGAGATCGATGATGTAAGAAGGGGCATTATGTCCATGTTTTGGTATGCACGTGAGGAGTAAAACTGAACGTTGAGAATCCAGGAGCCAGTGAAGAGAACGCATTATTACTGGGCAACGTGATAATATTTCGGGTACGGGATATTAATCTTGCAGTGGTGTTGTGGATACGTTGAAAGGCAGAATGTATAAGTCTGGTAAACCATAATAGTAACAAAACTACAATAGTCAAGGTGGGAGGACACTAAGGCATGAACGAGTCGTTCTGCTGCATGCACTGTTGGTTAAGAACTTCCCGAGTTTACCAATCTTGGAACATCCACACACATTCCCACCCACACCCACCTTCCCGTGCTTTATACAGTCATGGAGGGGGCGTTCTGATTGTATCTGTCGTCATCTAAAATCTGATAGATGGATATGTCAGGAAGAATTAGCTTAGCAAAACAAGAAGGGATTATAATGGCCAAAGCAAACATATACTGCCCATATCACTAAACGTACACAGATGGGTCTTCACTTAGCTCGATCTGGACACGACAAGTATAGAGTAGGAGGCACTGGTGCAGACAGAGGCGTTTCCAGAAATTGGTAAACGGGGGGGGGGGGGGGGGCAGAATTCTCAACGGCATTGCATGGCAAATGCATTCGTAATTATCTACTGTTACTGGGTTATTGGGGTGATCTATTAATCAGAATAATAATAATAATAAAAATATTCAAAGTAATAATAATATAATCCATCCTATTATGGCGTATAATTTATGGAGAAAAAATGTGCCCCTGTGCGCTGTAATGGAGAAAAGGAAACAAAAGAATAGAGAAGAGTGACAGACTCTTAGCATACTTTCTTAAGTCATTAGTTAACATTGGTAAATTTTATCTAAAAAGAAACATTTTAAGACGTGTTTGGAAGTTCTCAACAGTATCACAATTTTTGAAAATATTCTGGCGGTTTATTCCAATGCTCTGCTGATGCAACCTGAAAAGGACGTGACCCGTAGAACTTGTATTTATTTGAGGGAAAGAAAGGAGAGACTTTGGGGAAGACATGCGGTTTCTGTTAAAAGCGTATTGGGGGTAGACGTCACCATACTGGTGGAAATATATCAATCAGTTCTTACCAATAATGAGACGCGTGAGACAAAGTTGTGTTACACCTTATTTGACCGTCGATGTCTGTACTAGACCTTGCTCTTGATGATGACGATGATGACGACGATGATGATGATGATGATGATGATGATGACGATGACGATGATGTTTATGATGACAATGACAACGATGATGATGATGATGATAATGAGAATGTACCGATCTCTTTCAGCCCTCAATAAGTATAGACCCACTGCCAATGTACGTTGCATATGATTTTTTTCTGAGCCTACATTTGGTGGGGAGGGGGGCATACCGGTTCGAATAACTCATCGTTACACGATTTCACCATTTATTTGTTAATATGTATTTACACTGTGCTTTACTCAACAATAATTGTCCGATGGATATTTTACAATGATGTGTTTTCTAGCCCCAACAAGGAAAGTAACAAAACAACAAAACTTCGAAACGTGAAATCCGGTTAAAAGCCAGTTTAGCCTTGCTTATTGTCACTCACCTTGATGTTTCCTTCTTTCTTTACTTGTAAGTGCATCTCATACAGACGTCTTGTGAACTCGTCAACTGGGACAACACTGTCAAAAATAAAACATTTAAATTATTTTCTCCTTATTATTGCAATCTACTCTAATGAGTCGCAAGACGAAAAAACTTGAGTATGTCTGCTCATAAAGAGGTGTCAAGCGAAATGATTTGAAGATACTATCTAACGTCTTGAATTGGTCGAGGGAGTAATTGAATGCTTTAGGAAATGTTCATTGATTTGTGAATTGTTCTTTAATTATCTTTTATTTTTGCTAAGCTTTCTGATTTGTTTTTTGATCTATCAATTGATTTTTTTTTACAGCTTTGTTCATTGATGTGTAAGGTGGTTCAAGGAAATTGTTTCGTTTTCACCCACAAAGTAAAACTTGAATTGTTATACATTTACAAATAAATGCGGGCCGAAACACATTTCTCAGTGGAATTCTATTTTTTCCGTGAGATATCCTCATTACACTCATTTTCAAAGAGTTGCAAGATACCATTGATAATCATATCTATATCTAAACAGCGTGACGTACGACAAGTTCGGATAATGTCCGCTGCACATGAATCGACATTTTTCTGACGTAGGGGTGCGTCAGTGAAAGGAGCAGCCTTTGACGCACTATGACGCATGTGAGACTAAAAATTCACCCATAAAAAGGTGAATGCAAACTGAAGAGTGCATACAGTCATGGCTTTGAATCAACGTGATTTCACCAAATTGATTAAAGCGCAGTATTGAAATGATGCAGTATTGTAAAGGGCGTGAGAGTGTTAAAATAGAATTGCGTAATAGGCAGGGAAAATATGGGCTGGTGCCTGCTACAAAAAAACTGTAAACGTCCTTCTCGCCACTACATCGAATGTAGATTATCATATTAGCATTCGCACATCCTATCATAAAAAAAAGATAATTGTGTAAAGTAGACGGAAGACGTATAGGGGGAATGAAAGATTAGGACTTACTTGCCACAAGTTTGAGGATTTATTGATTCAATGCGAGCCTTCCTTGACAATTTTGATGATTATTATGTGTCTTTTGAAGAAAAAAGGTGATTCCCTCTTTTAAAGATACTATGTCCCTTTTGCAGCCAACATCAAATTCAGATCTGTAGAACTTTGCTGGCATTATGAATATGCCATGTATGTCCTATCTGTGAAATTTAAACATTAGCAGTGTTCTAGTATTCAAATTATGCAAGAAAACCCGTTCTCCTTCTAGACTTCACTGCCAGGCACTATTGAGTGACTGACTGACATCTTTTTTCTTTGGTAATAACATACATAAAGTGAGCTGCAACAGCTATATGAGCATTTGTCTACATCAATAACCTCTACTTGTAATGGCCAAGATCAAAGTGATTGAAACTTTGTACGACCATTCAGTAAAAGGGTCTGAAAATCAGACTATTACTTAGATGATTGCAATCACTTAAGTCGATTCGACAACTAAGGCCAAACAAAAAAATGTTTTGGTTGTCCTCGATTGCTTTTCTGGAGTAGGGGCGGGCGGATTTTTTTTTTTTTTTTTTTTTTTTTTTTTTTAAACTTCATTTTTTGTGTGTCTTTAAAAAAAAAAAAAAAAAAAAAATCCCCCCCCCCATTTTTTAATTTTTGTTTAAATTATTTTTTTCCATGAAAAACAAACAAAGTCTATAAAACACATTAATATGGTAAAAGACTAGTTTAATGTACAATGAATATCAAGACCAACACAGAAAGTATTTTTGGCTTTGAAATACAGCACCTTTTAAATCTCCATTGTACTACTTATAGCTACTTGCGCCCTCTAATCGGTGACCATTGCTCCCCCATGATCCTCTTTATCTTATGTTAACTGAGAGCTGATTTTATGAGATAATCACATGTCCAGTGCCCTTGCAGGGTGGTCTAATCCCTCCTGTAAACTAGTACAGATGGGTTTTAAAATGAGTTTAAGAATGCTCAGAACCTGATTTGAAAGAACGGCATTTTGACATAGAAAAATAAAAATGGCAAGTTTAATAAATACAGAATTGCGTACTGAAAAGACCAAATTGGCAACGGGACGCATTTTGATCCTTGCAAATGCACGAAATGGTATGTTTGGCATTTAAAAATGCTCCCTCAAAAAAAAAATGAATTTAAAAATATTGAATTAAAAAAATAAAAAAATACGAGCGGCCCAAAAATGACGAGCTGGCGGGCGAGGATAACCAAATTATTTGTTTTTGTTTGCCTAACGGTCATTATTTTCCGAGTAAAAGCCATCTTCAAGCCCTTTCGTTTTGAGGGAAGTTCTAAATACGTATTGTCTTTCAAATGTCGGCGGAATTTAACCTTTTAATTTTTTTGGCCTGCAAATGGGAATAATATTGTGGTCAAAATATAAGACTGAGGGCTCCCGGGGGAAGCAATATTGGTTGAGAATCTATACCTTTTAAGTGCTGAATAAAGGAAGGCATCGTCTTTGCTTATTCCCAGCATAAGTAGATTGATATCGGCCTGTAACTCCATGGCCTTGTGGAAGAGGTCCCTCGGAAAGGTGGACGGGAGCAGCGTAAGGGGTCCATGTACTGTCTGGAGCTTGGAGGGGCGGATCAACACCCCCATGGCATAGGCCCGATCCTTCATGTCCCCTGCTAGCTCCTCTAGCTCATCCGCAGCTAGCGGCAGCTCAATTGCCGGGTGTAACTCGACCATTCTTGATGATAACAACTCGACTGTCTAAGTCTCCTGGAAGAATAAAAATAAAGAACAGAATGGAAAGTGAGACAGCCGACACTCTTGAAATGACACGGCAAGCAGACGATAGAGTGACAGACAGAGCAACGATATGGTGTGCGAATGCACACAAACATGGGTGTCGCCATCTGTAACTGATACCTATTCATCAGGGGGGGGGGGATGATCTATTCATTCATCCCCCCCCTGATGAATAGGTATTACGTAAGGATCGACACCCATGCACACAAATAACATTCAATACCGGTCGACGTCAGGGGCGTCGCCAAAGGGGGGTGTGGGGGGGGGGTGCGACACCCCCCCCACCTGTCAGGATTTTGTCGGTAAAATTGCGCTGCCGTCGGGAAAAAGAGAAAAGGGGGAGGGAAAAAAAGAGGGAAAAAAAGAGAGGGAAAAAAAAGAGAGGAAAAAAAGAGAGGGAAAGGGAAAGAAAAGAAAAAAAGAAAAGGAAAAGAAAAGAAAGAAAGGAAAAGAAAGGAAAGAAAGGAAAAGAAAGGAAAGAAAAGAGAAGAAAGAAAGAGAAAAAAGGAAAAAGAGGGAGGAGAGGAAGAAAGGAAAAGAAAGAAAAGAAAGAAAAGGAAAAAGAAGAAAAAACAGTGAAAGGGGAAAAAAAAAACAGGGGATGAAAGAGAGGAGAGAGAGGGAAAATAAGAGTCTGAGAGAGGAGAAGTGGGAGTAAAAGAGAGAAGGGGTTGTTGGGTAGAGTCGTCTCGTCGAGGGAGCAAGAAAGACACGGGTAAATATGTTGCTGTGTCGGGTCAGCTGTGTCGGTATTCTTGCTCGATCCTCGTGTACTATATCAATGCAGAAGTTTGAAGTCGGTGAGATGTATATTGTCGGTCGGCCGACAAGTTTTTTTCCCTACGAACTGTGACTTCTAACCGCTGTGACCATTTCGAGAGTGACTACAACTACAATACTTGTATTTTCTCGAAGTTTCACTTTCCTATAAGTTCAGCTAAAGAAATCAGAGGTTTAAAATTTTCGGGGAAACTAAATTCAAACAAGGTTTAAGAGTCAACAACGGTACGACGAATCGTCTTCCTTTCTTTATACTGTGATGAAAGGCCAAAAATTCCGCGCTTCGCGCGAAAGGTGAAACTTCAATTAGACGATCCGAGAACGGTACAACGAATCGTCTTCTATCTCTAATAATTTAAGGAAACGTCAAAACTTCCGCTCTTCGCGCGAAAGTGGGAAACTGAATTCAGACAAATAGGGCTTATTAAAAGTCGAAAACGGTACAACGAATCGTGTTCTTTCTCTTGTAATTTGAGGAAACTTAAAATCTTTCGCGCTTTGCGCGAAAGGGGGAAACTGAATTCAGATGAATAGGGCTTAATAAGATTAGAAAACGGTAAGAGGAATCGTCTTTCTATCTCTATATTGTGATGAAACGCCAAAAATTCCGCGCTTCGCGCGGAAGGGGAAAACTTCATTTAGACGAGTCGAGAACGGTACAACGAATCGTCTTCTTTCTCTAATAATTTAAGGAAACGTCAAAGCGAGAGGGAGAAACTGAATTCAGACAAAATTAATAGGACTTATTTAGAGTCTAAAACGGTACAACGTATCGTGTTTTTTCTCTAATAATTTGAGGAAACGTCAAAGTTTTCGCGCTTTGCGCGAGAGGGGGAAACTGAATTGAGATGAATAGGGCTTATTTAGAGTAAAAAACGGTACGATGAATCGTCTTCCTTTCTCTATATTGTGATGAAACGCCAAAAAGGGGAAAACTTCATTTAGACAAGTCGAGAACGGTACAACGAATCGTCTTCTTTCTCTAATAATTTAAGGAATCGTCAAAGCTTCCGCGCTTCGCGCGAGAGGGGTAAACTGAATTCAGACAAAATTAATAGGGCTTATTTAGAGTCGAAAACGGTGCAACGAATCGTGTTCTTTCTCAAATGATATGAGGAAACGTCAACGCTTTCGCGCTTCGCGCAAGAGGGAGAAACTGAATTCAGATGAATAGGCCTTATTAAGAGTCGAAAACGGTGCAACGAATCGTGTTCTTTCTCTAATGATATGAGGAAACGTCAACGCTTTCGCGCTTCGCGCAAGAGGGGGAAACTGAATTCAGATGAATAGGCCTTATTAAGAGTCGAAACGGTATGACGAATCGTCTTCTTTCTCTAATAATTTAATGCAACGTTTAAACTTCCGTGCTTTGCGCGGGAGGGGGAAGCTTCATTCAGATAAGGATTAAGATTCGAGAACAGTACACAGAATCGTCTCTTTTTTCTAATAATTTAAGGAAACGTCAAAGCGAGAGGGAGAAACTGAATTCAGACAAAATTAATAGGGCTTATTTAGAGTCTAAAACGGTACAACGTATCGTGTTTTTTCTCTAATAATTTGAGGAAACGTCAAAGTTTTCGCGCTTTGCGCGAGAGGGGGAAACTAAATTGAGATGAATAGGGCTTATTTAGAGTCAAAAAACGGTACAACAAACCGTGTTCTTTCTCTAATAATTTGAGAAAACGATAAAGCTTTCGCGCTTCGCGCGAGAGGGGGAAACTGAATTCAGATGAAAAGGGCTTAATAAGAGTCGAAAACGGTACGATGAATCGTCTTCCTTTCTCTATATTGTGATGAAACGCCAAAAATTCCGCGCTTAGCGCGGAAGGGGAAAACTTCATTTAGACAAGTCGAGAACGGTACAACGAATCGTCTTCTTTCTCTAATAATTTAAGGAAACGTCAAAGCTTCCGCGCTTTGCGCGAGAGGGGTAAACTGAATTCAGACAAAATTAATAGGGCTTATTTAGAGTCGAAAACGGTGCAACGAATCGTGTTCTTTCTCTAATGATATGAGGAAACGTCAACGCTTTCGCGCTTCGCGCAAGAGGGAGAAACTGAATTGAGATGAATAGGCCTTATTAAGAGTCGAAAACGGTGCAACGAATCGTGTTCTTTCTCTAATGATATGAGGAAACGTCAACGCTTTCGCGCTTCGCGCAAGAGGGGGAAACTGAATTCAGATGAATAGGCCTTATTAAGAGTCGAAAACGGTATGACGAATCGTCATCTTTCTCTAATAATTTAATGCAACGTTTAAAATTTCGCGCGGGAGGGGGAAGCTTCATTCAGATAAGGATTAAGAGTCGAGAACAGTACACCGAATCGTCTGCTTTTTCTCAAAAATTAATGAAACGTCAAAGCTTCCGCGCTTTGCACGAGAGGGGGGGGGGGGAACTGAATTCAGAAAAGGATAAACAGTCGAGAATGGTAGAGCAAATCGTCTTCTTTTTTATAATAATTCAATGAAACGCCAAAGCTTTCGCGCGGGAGGGGGGGGGGGGGGGGAAACTTCATTCAGCCAAGGATATCATTAGAAAATGGTACAATTAATCGTCTTCTTTTCCTAATAATTTAAGGAAACGTCTAGGCCCATCAAACGCGGGAGGCCCATCACCCACATCCCCTTAATGAACGCGCTTTTAAGTTATTCTCTTGCTCACTACCGCCCCTCCCTAAAATAAGATCCTAGCTCCGCGCCTGCCTTAAAATATATAGCTATGATGCTGACTAAATTGAAGAAATAATTCGTATATTTATGTCGTCGAGGAAAATGACCATTTTGCGCATAGGCAAGTACAAGAGATAGTCCATAGGAAAAACTATTTAGCCTTCGGCCCCAGGTTTATAGGGTTGAATTTTTCGATATTGGACATTTAATTTTGTCGGTAATTGGTGGCTAGTTTTGTCGGTAATCGTAAGCCTCTACACCCCCCCACTGAAAAAGGTCTAGCGACGCCCCTGGTCGACGTGATGAGAAGGTTGTCTTGCATTAGATCATCTCGCAAAGTCGTCGTTATACATGCGTGAAAAGTATCTGGTTCCGCCACCAGTTTCTCGACCAGGAAAACACGCCATCTATCCTAAAGCAATTATTATCAAACATTAAAGGTAAAGACCAGTTATGGTAATGCGATTGCATTGTGAAAGAAACATTGTGGAATCGATCATAAAAGGTTGATCATCTAGCATCTAGCATCTGCAAGGTTCTTGAATCATCAAAATGATAAGAAATTTGACCCATTCTTCGTAAAGGTACAAGCACTATACACAGAAAGATGTATATGGGACTACCCTATATCTCTCACAGACTATGAGAGAAACAAATTTACCAAATATATGAATTAGTAGGCGGTTTCCCGGCAAATTTGTTATCATCATGTATTAGTCAAAACATATTCTTTCACATGATTGGTAATGAGAGCTTCCATTTCATTTTTTGAAATTTGGGCGTTTCCAATACTGGTCTTTACCTTTAATATACATTGTGCCATCTATTAGGCAGAAGGGCGTTAACTAATACCATTTAACACATAACGGCCTTCTGACTCTTAAAGGATATGATGAACACATTTCACTGAATCATTACTATTCCTACACCTCTTATTTTCCGCAGCTCTATTCTGACACTCGGAAGTTCCGATGCTCTTAGATTGAGGATGACCTCATGTACCCCTATCTGCGGACCCCCTTTGTTCCGACATCCGTATGTTCGGCACCCCTGTCTTCCGATACCCCTTTATTCCAACACCTCTTTTTGTTCCGACACCCCTTTTTCCAACAACCTTATGTACCGACACCCTAAGTTCTGACACTGGTATATTCGACTGCCTCTATATCAAGGTTGGGCTACACCCCTACGTGTAGGTAAAAAACCATCCACTTATTTGGAAAAAGTGAGGTTCTGGCAGTGATTCGTAGAGCATGTTTTGGGTGTTATATCAAAGAAGAGAAATTGATTATTTTATCAATTTTAAGCCCTTAAAATTGATCAAATCGATTTTTAGATCGATTTTAGGGCTTAGTGAAACCCCCCTGGTCTGATCTCAACTAAAATATAATCCACGAAAGATAAATGATTTTTGAACGAAACAAGACGTGGGGACAACGGTTTGACACCTAGCCAAAAAAGCGACGAAGTCATTAAAAATTGACCAGGTTCGTACGTACGTTGGCCAGAGTGTGATTATA